CATTGAAACTCCACAAGGTGAGATCTTGCATGGAGCACCAGACCGAGAGAGACTAACGGTTATTTTGTATTTCTTCCATTTGCAAATTATCGCACCAACTGTCACCTTCTCACCAAGCTGCTTAGCAATGGTCTTCTAGCCCATTCCAGCCTTGTGTAGGAATACAATCTTGGTCATGGTGAAGAGTTTGGAATCTGATTGCTCTTTTCTGGAACTCTTTTTGGCCAGGCACTCTCACGAATCCCGGTAAAGATTAGACCGCTGCCCGTTCTACTTTCCCACCAACTATGCGAACGACGTTCAGGAGATGGGAACTGTTGAACAGGGGAAGAGTTTGTACCCTGAAATTAGGACAATCCTTTGCATGGTGTTCGCACAGGAACCCCCGAACTCAAGGTGGGGGAAGGCTTGTGAATTAAGCGTTTGTGTGTTTGTTCATGAGTTTGAATAGACTATGTTGAACAGAGAACCAACAAATGAATTGATAGGTCAGCGAACGGTTAAACCCACAAAATGCCCTGCGTGTAAGATATTACCGTAAAGTGCTGGACTGGCACGAAGACCCACATAGAGTAAAAGGAATCAGGGCCGGCGCGTCCATAAGGCGGCACAAGCGGCCGCCTTAAGGCGCACTGGCCCGGGGGGCACTAGATCAGAGTAACCGGCAGGAGCTGGGCACACAGCTCTCCCTCCTGCCAGGCACTCTGTGTAGCGTGGCTGAGCGGAGCAGTGCGCACCGTGATACAGGAACTTATGTTTCCTGTACCCAGCCGTACTGAAAGGAAGCAGGAACTAAGTGCAGTGGGTCCGGAGTCGGTGTAGGCCGCAACAGGAGCAGAGACCGGTTAGCAGCAGCGCGGGATGGACCTGACTGCAAGTGTAGATTGACCGGAAGTTCAGGTTGCCATGGATACCACGTCACTCGATTGAAAAAACGGCGCAAGCAGGGGAGATTGCGTTTTATAGGACAAACTCCTCTCATACATTCAGGCCTTCTACATATTATTTTGTTCAGGAGAAAATATTTTTGCAGATCAAATATTTGCACATAAAACATAATTTAATATGAATAAATTAATATTAATGTGAATAAAATCTAAAAAAGTTTGGGAAATTATGAAAGTTTGTTATTTTCCAAGTTCTACGTAGCATTATAACCTGTGAATGTCATAAAATTGTTAGCTTTTACTGCGATATAATACACATATTTTTGTTTAGCAATGTGTAACGAGTACAACAATACCCCTGCCCCTCCCCCCATGTGCAGGTTTTATGGGGTATTGAAAAGTTACAGAGTTAAATATAGGGCTTGCCCATTTTGTTTTTTTACACATTGAAATTTGCCAGATTGGTTATGCTGCCTTTGAGACCTTATTGCAGATAAGAAATTAAAATTACCTTCATCATGGCATACCATACCATTTGAAAAAGTAGACAATCCAGGGTATTCATTCTGTGTGTTTGGGAGTGTGTGGGAGCCTGGGTAAGAATATTTCCACTAATATGGCATACCATTTTCAAAAGTAGGCAACTCAGAGTATTCCAAATGGCATATTTTAAGATTTTTGGTCTCGCCACTCTAACAGAAATAATAGTTCCTCATAGCGTAATAGTTTTTTCTGTGCTTTTTCACATACATGAACTCAATTTTCACAGGACAATTCATATTCCTAATGAGTTACTTCAATAAAGCCTTAGTATTTTTATTTAACATTGTCTCATTAATATTGCAGTACCTCCATGTACCAATTTTTCATGTGTTTTCGGTAAGTCACAGGGCCAAATGTATTATATGCCCTTTTCAATTTGTAAAATTGACAAGTGATTTTCTTGGGCTGACGCCTTTGAGACAATATTGCAGCCCAGGAAAGAAAATTACCTCCATAATGGCATATCATTTTTAAAAATAGGCTACTTGGGATATTCCAAATGGCATAGTTTGAGTTATTTGTTCTAGCCACTTTAACACAAATGATGGCCCAATTTGTGGTTTTTCACACACTTGATTTCCATTTTCACAGGAAAATTAATAAACTTGATACGAGCTATTGCAATAAAGCCTCAAGTACCAAGTTGTTTTTTTTTGGTAAGTCAAAGGGCAAAATATATTAGATGCCCTTCTCAGCTTGTAAAATTGACAAGTGATTTGTGGCAACATGGCACCCTAAGAAAGGAAATTACCCCCAAGAAGGGGGTCAACATTTTAACAAATATTTGAGTTGTTTGGTGTAACCACTTCATATTGGCTGAGCTTAAAGGGACACTATAGTCACCAGAACAACCACAGCTTCAGGCTTTTTGCTGTAAACACTGTCTTTTCAGAGAAAATGCAGTGTTTACATTACAGCCTAGTGATAACTTTACTGGCCACTCCTCAGATGGCTGTTAGAGATCCTTCCTGGGTCATGGCTGCATAAAATGCATCCAAACGTTCAGTGTCTCCTCCCTCTGCATGCAGACACTGAACTTTCCTCATAGAGATTCATTGATTCAGTTCATCTCTATAAGGAGATGCTGATTGGCCAGGGCTGTGTTTGAATCATGCTGGCTCTGCCCCTGATCTGCCTCCTTGTCAGTCTCAGCCAATCCTATGGGATGCACTGTGATTGGATCAGGCTACCACTTCTGATGATGTCAGCAGACTGCTTGTTTTTTTTTTTTTTTTTAGGCAAATAGCATGCAGATCTACAGCTTCTGGCTTTGTTTACACTAGGGTTAATCCAGCCTCCACTGGCTGTCTCATTGACAGCCGCTAGACGCACTTCTCACTGTGATTTTCACAGTGAGAAGACGCCAGCGTCCATAGGAAAGCATTGTAAATGCGTGCCGCGCATGCGCATTCAGCCGATGACGGGAAAGGAGGCGGAGAGTCCCCACCGCCGAGGGATCCCGGCGGTGGAGAAAAGGTATGTGTTAAACCCCTTCCTCACCCTAGAGCCCGGCTTGAGCGGGAACCCAAGGGAGGGGGGGACCTAGAGACCCTATAGTTCCAGAAAAACAAGTATGTTTTCCTGGCTCTATAGTGGTCCTTTAACACTATAGGGTCAGGAATACATGTTTGTGTCCCTGACCCTACAGTGATCCTTTAACATAAACAGGGACAGGCAAAGGTCAGGGGAATCTAGACGTCAGAGTAATAAGTAAAAAAAAAAAACAAGCTAATAGTCGGTACAGGCAAAAACAATTTGCCGCCCCCACTTATGTCCTGCCCACCATGTGACATCACAATGCCCCGCCCATATGATCTGCCATATGGGCCAACGCCAGTCTTCACAAAGTGTCTTTCATCTGAAAAGACAGTGTGTTTACATTAAAAAGCCTACAGGCACAGGCTATAGACACCAGAACCACTACATTAAGCTGTAGTGGTTCTGGTGACTATAGTATCCATTTAATGTGAGGTAAATTAGAGATTAGTGCCACTAATAATATATTGGATTGCCTACTTACAACCAGATGAGGACAAGAGGCTGATGATGGGCTCAGTCTGGCTCCAAAGGTCTGGTGTAGAAGAGGCTCTCTGGAGGCTGTTTGTAACAGTGCTCACAACAATTAACGAACAGGAAGCAGCTCCATTTTTTGGGGCCCCTTACACAGCTCAAGGTCTGGGCCCCCAGGGCTTGACCGTGAGTGTGCCTACAATGCCCACCCATAAATCCACCTACATGGCCCACCCGTGAGTTCTCTCACAGGGAGTGGAGTGTATGTGTGTAGGGGATGTGTTATTGTAGAGGATGTAATGTGTATGTGTTCTTATAGAATGTAGTGTATAGGGATACCAATTTGTGTAAGGGATGTAGTGTGGGTATAGTGGATGCATTGTATGTTTCTGGGTGTGTGTTTCTGTGTATGTAATTGAATGCAGTGTGTGTCTGTAAGGGGTGCATTGAATGTGTAAGAGATGCATTTTGTTTCTGTGTGTTTGTGTGAGCATAAGGGATGCATTGTGTGTTTCGGGTGTGTCTGTGTGTGAGTAGGGATGCATTGTATGTTTCTGTGTGTGTGGGGGGTGCATTGTGTATGTGTGTAGTGTAAACGAGAGGGTTTGTGGTGTAGGATAGGGACTGAGAGGGGAGCAGCTCTTTATTTAAAAAAAAAAAAAAAAAAAAATCATAGTGCTCTCCCCTCCTGTCAATTAGTGATCTCCCCCTCTCCCCCTTAGTGCTCTTCCTTTGCCCCCTGTCCCTCTGCAGCTCCCTCTCCCAAACCCCTTATTGGTCCTTCCCCTTTCCCCCCTCAGTGGTCTTTACCTTATTTCCCCCCTCAGTGGTCCTCCCTCCTTAGTGGCCCTCCCTCTCCCAAACCACTTAGTACCTTAGTGGGCTCCCCCCTCCTCCCTCATTGGTCCTCTCTCCTTACCCCCCCCCCTCTTTGGTGGGGGGTATTTTTGACAATACCCATTACGAGGGTTAGAGCCCAAAATTTTTGCTTTTCTGCAACATCCGTGTAGTGTCACTTATTTTTCCTATTATATGTGACCCCGGATTCGCAGTCAGATACTGATTTGCAGACAAATTAATTTGCCCAACCATTAGCTGAAATATGTCGTCCGATATAAAGAGCTCAAAGTATTTTATTGGTTCACAAGCATCCACTATTACAGTGATGCCAGGGAATGCTGTGAATAAGGGTTTTTCTGGGGCTGTCCGGTTTGGGGGTACCCAGTTTTCATCTGTTGGGCATTAAATTAATGATCACAGGCTTCTGGCAGAGAAATTCTGGTATTCATTTCTAGAGTATATAATAAGAATTATATATTCATACATATCAGAATGTGGTGTTTTGAACTTATATAATCTGCTAGAGGTTTTCCTACATATCACGTGCACGTGTCACAAAATAATTCTGTTGGACACAATTTAGGTTGAACAGCAAAGTGTCTTCTTCACTACAGTTGTCAGTTTAGTGATCACATTACTTTAATACCTCCACACAGACACAAAAATAGTAAAAACCTAAAATAAAAAGACAAACCCAATGAAACCCTCTCACACTACGAATTTAGGAACAGTTTTAGTTTTATTTTTATTTAAAAAAAAAAATGTAAGTGCTGTTAACATCTGCTTTTGTAATTATTAGCATCTTTGCGGTAAATTCAAGTAACGACTTCCCGTACAATTACAGCATCCTTCGGAACTTTTTGTTTTTATTTATTAAAATTAGGAGCTGTACATCCAACAAAGAAAAAGGCGCATTTGCTGAAACGGTACGCGCCGTGTATTGGTGAAAGTACGTTTGCTTTGCAATTAGCAAAGAAAAAAAATTAACAACAATTATGTCCAAGTATCAGTCTCTGCATAGATATGACAAGTTTTCCCGAAATGACACGCACAAAAAAAAAAAAAAGATATGATTTCTCATCTAAAAAACACCTTTTCTTATATCAGATTTGATATTAATACAAGATATTGTTAGAGTATGTATAGATCCAAACTGCAACAAAAGTTATGGCACAGACTCTTGAAAATCCATTAACCTCTTTTCTTCAGAGTGATCATTGCCCGACTTATCACACAACATTTTCAAATGATTATCAAGTCGCTGAGCGTAGGTGAACTAATCTGCAGAGTGGAGTAAAAAGTACTTTGTATTTTCTTCTTTTGAAGATATGGAACATTGTTCTTCACAGATCCCTTGACATTGACAGTAGATGAGAATGCTCAACAGTGTCTCTAGACTAGTACCTGCACTGTAAAAATACAGGTCTTTGAGTCTGTTGGCCCTGACGCCCATCAGTGCAAATCATCCACAACTCTTTGGGAATTAGAAGGGAATATGGGGGAGTGGAAACAACAACAAAAAAAAAACTAAACACAATTACCAACCAAACCAAAAGTCTTTAAAACAAAAGACACTTCTGTTAAGTTTTATAAAACAATTGTCACATTTTCTATTTTCTTTTAAAACCTTAAACAGGTACAAACTAGACTAACAAAATCTGGAAAAAAATAAAAAATAACCCAAGACTTTCAGCTCTATACCCTGTGCCACAAATAATTAAAAGAAAAAGAGATAATCAAATTCATTTTTGTCAGTACACTCCAGAAAAGTGCCTGTAAACGTCGACAATCAGCCACTCCATCCAGGTTTTTAAAGTTGCTTGCAGTGCTGCAGTAAACACCATCTGATAATTTTCTCTCGCCTACGGATCTCCGTTTTTATGCAATATTCCTTGTGTTGCTTTTCCTCTTTTCTGCCCCAAAAAGTCTCCTGTTTAAGGATAGCGCCAGAATCCTGTGTGAGACAGCTCGTCACGAATGCTCTGTGCCCTATGCTCATCCGACAGGGTTTTTGATTTTTTTTGTTTGTTTTTTAATTTTTATATTTGTACTCTATTGCAAGTCAAATGTTTTTAGTGTTGGTGGAAAGACATCACGTTTTTTTAAGCATGCGTCTGGATTGCCATGTGTGGAACTTGTTGTAGGCGGTCTGCAGCATCTCTTCTAAGTGACTCGTAATCTGAAAAAAATAGGGAGAAAAACAAAAAAAAAACATAACAAATTGTGATATAAATCACAAACTTTTAAAAAGAATTCACAAGTAACAGTGTCCATTCTTATTATTTATTTATTACAAGTGAAGGATTTCAGACACGGCCAACAGATAAAATTAATACATTTAAAAAAAAAAAAAAAAAAGCGCGATTACAGTTTACTCACATTTGTGCTCAGGTATTGTTTCCGCACTTTCTCCTGGAATGGGCATAATTTAGTAATCTGGAACCTCTCCAAATTACTCTTCATTTTAATAACCTAAAAACAGAAAGAAAAAAAAAAAAAACATAAATGAAACTTTTTTTTGTATGTATATTCAATAAAATATACAAACTGCATTAGTGTATTAATAACACAGGATCTGTATGTACTCATTATACTTGAAGACAGATACATAGCTTATCAGCAATTTTATTACAGACAGGAGGCTCACATTAGGCTTTGAGCTTTCATTAATACTCGCAGCAGGAAAGCAAAACAAAACATCCAAACATGAAAAGGTAAACTCCTTGACCTATCAGCATCAAACAAAGTCTATAAAACAGGGAGCGTGCAGCAGTTCCTCCACTTTCTTTGCTGCACCATACATTTCACAATTTTTTCAGTTCGATTGCCTATTTTGTTTATCATACACAGTATTACTTTTTATTATGTATCACAAATTATACAAATTTATAACACTCGTTATATATATATATATGTTTTCGAGTTTGAACCGACTGATGCTACATTGTGGACATGTAGAATTTATTTTTATCATGAGGACCAAGTCCTCCTTACTTATATTTTTCTCTCTTCTATTTGTTAGGCATCTCATTCCTGTACAACTGCGATCATCGCACAGCAGCATGAGGACATCCAGTGTCAGTGAAATCACCATAGGAAAGCACTGAGTCAAAGCTTTCCAATGAGAAGGGCTTAATGTACTCACCGTGCATGTGCATTATGTCCCCCACCCCACCTCCCCTGGGGAAGGAGGCAGAGCCCCGGAATCGGGTGACTAAACAAAGGGTTTTATTCCAGTGAGGGAGGGGTAGGCGGTGCAGGGGGGAGGCAGAGAGCACTACTGTGTTAGGAATACAGCTAGAGAAGCCGTTTAAGACTTAAATCTATTGCTGGAATAAATAAAGCTATATTTGGTGCCAATTCCACTAGGAGAGCTATGGTCATTAATTCGGCTCCCATCAACTACGCTATCGCCTGGGAGCAGGGTGAGAACGCCGAAAATGCGCACAGCCGCTACAGTGAAACTGCAAATGGCTCATTAAATCAGTTATGGTTCCTTTGATCGCTCCATCTGTTACTTGGATAACTGTGGTAATTCTAGAGCTAATACATGACGACGAGCACAAGGGGATGGCCGCTCCGCTTTTGCACCCTGCTCCCTCTTATGCTGTGCTGGTGGCTCTGTGCGACCACCGCCTCTCCTCCAAACTGCACACGTCACTCGCATGACCTTAATTCCATGTGGGGTCTAGGACCTCATCATCCTCCACCCACTCCTCAACCCTGCCCTCCTTGCGGGTCTGCACACTGCAGTTGGCACCTGCGTTTTTCCAGCATGTAAAGTCTGCAAAGGACATATGGAAATTGTTTTAGAATTGTATCCAGGTAACTGGTTTAAATCTAGCAGCTTGTTATCTGGTAGTTTCTAGTGTAGAAAATATCAATCTGTTTTCTATCACTTAGATCTGTTTAACAAGTGTTGTAGGTGTGAAACAATATTACAAGTGACCGATGTAGTAAATTAGAATCAAAGTTCCATTTGCCAAAAAAAAATTCTCGCCCATCTTCTGTGGGTTATTGCATTTTTAAGATGTAGACTTATTGTATCACACTAGCCATGCACATGTAGATTGTCTGGCACGTTGTTTTGGTGTTTGGTTTTTAACTTTGTAGTTGTGTCTTTACACAATATAGAAATGTATATTAATGCTTCTGTATATGAAGCGATCACAATAGCACTTATTTTTCACTTTTTTAAAAAGTCTTTAGACTTTCTTGAGAAGCGGTAACTAGTCCGTGTTGCACACATACACCAGATATGAAGTGCACACCCCAAATGTACAATTTAGCAGCAAAAAAAATTTAAATGTTTAAAACTGCGCTGTAAGCACAGTATTTGACGGTTCTATTTGACTCTCAGATATGAAGTGCAGGCCCCAAATGTACAATTTAGCACCTAAAGAATTAGAATATTTTAAACTCCAATGTAAGCACAGTATTTGACGGTTCTATTTGACTCTCACATATGAAGTGCACCGCAGGCCGCAAATGTACTATTTAGCACCAAAAAGTGTGATTTTTTTTAAAACCAACAATTTAACAGTAGTATTTAAGGGTTTTATTGGACTGCAAGAAATGCAGTACGCAAATGTACTATTTAGCACCAAACAAATTGCAGTATTTAAAAATGCCTAGATGTTGCCCACTGAGCTACCAGAACAGGATTAAAGTAATGTGCCTGGCACACATGCAGTTGCAAGTGCACTGCACTCTCTGTGGCACTGGACTCAGGGCAGAGTACAAAAATTATTGCACCCCCAAAAATAATCGCTGTAGTTTGCAGATTCAACACCAGAATTCTTTCCTAATCTGTCCCTAACAGCTGCAGCATCCTCTCCCTACACTAATAAGAGCTCATGTGCGTGCTGCGCTACGTGACTCCAGCTTATATATAGAGGCTGGGTCACATGCTGCACTGGCCAATCACAGCCATGCCATTAGTAGGCATGGCTGTGATGGCTTCTAAGGGCACATGAGTCAAACGCTTGTTGATTGGCTGCCCTGCAGCCTTTCAAAACGCGCCATTAAATCGCTGAACACCGAACTCATACGGATATGTCCGTGTTCGGGTCTAGGTTCGCTCAACTCTACATATAAGGAGTCTTCTGTCTGCGATAAAATTCTAATATTTTCCTAGTGCGAAGGAAAGTATTATCCCACCAGTCAGCTAACCCTATTAATTCCCTCTTCGCAGTTTAACAAGAACCTCCACATTCTACTTTTCATTTGCACGTTGGATTCCAAATTTCATTGTTCCCGTCTCTTACAGTTAATTGGATTGACTTCAATATACCCTTTAACATAACACTCGCAGGAACTGTTGCATGCTACCTGTTATATACACTATGCAAGATGCTGATTGGTCAAGGTGTTTTTTGCATTTTTTTCCCTTTGGTTTTACCCAACATGTGATTAACACTTTTGCTGCTGTGACTAGTAAAGAAAGGTTAAAACCTATGTTTTCGGTCATCCCTGGACTAGGAAATCATGAATAGTATACAATGTATTTTCATAATAGATTTGGATTAGCCTAGTCTCATGGAGACTGGCAAAGCTCTTCTCACATTATTTATAAGATTGTGATTCTCTACTAAGCGACTTACCTTTTCCTCTAGGAAGGGGGTATTTACAGGGAAGCAAGACCAGAAATGTCGAAGCAGCTCACCAACTGCCACATACAAGTGTTTCAGTTCAGACTGAATATCATTTGGCACCATCTCTGCAACAGGGAGAACAACACCACAGATTTAGATAACTACTCCTTGGCACAGCAGCCAATTTAAAGAGATACTCCAAGCACCAAAAATACAGCTTATTGTAGTGATTATACTCATATGAATCTGTGCTTTAAGGTATAACATTTTACATTTTTGTTATTTCAGTTGTTCAGCTATATCTCCAGTGCCTGAGCTCCACCCCCTTCCTGTTAATGCTATACAGGAAGCCTGGCCTTCCCATTGAACTATCCAAGAATTTGAAGTCCGCTCACTGCCAACTAATGCTTTTCGAGTCATTATCCCATTGCAGAAGCTATGGCGTGAGCACGGTGCGGACATGAACAGCAGGCTGAAAAGGGAGTGGGCTATTTTGAACACTAAATGAGAAATCTACGCTCTCCAATATGATGTCCATGGAAAGGGGTGAAGCCAGACTGAAAAGCAAATTTACAAAAACAGAAGTTAAAAAATAAAATAAAATAAAAAGTTTTCAGGAATAGCATCCTAAAAACACAACTGTACATGTTATTGCAGTGGTTATGGTGAACGAGGTGCCAAATAAACTTGGGGTTGATACAGTAAGTAAAATCCTGCATGGGATTTATAAAACAGCTGCTGAATGGTAAAGGTTTAATTGGTAGATTTTGTTAAGAGGAAGAAATATGATAGATGCCCAAGCTACTATTAAAATTGGGTTAGAATAAATAAAATAAAAAACACCCTCACACCTATTTTATGTATTTTACATCATGGGCAGATAGCGACAAGTGTCTAGAGAAAAATAAGCAATTTAAGGAGTTTATTCACCCAACCAAAAGTTGAAAACCAGACGGCAAAATGTATGCCTAATTACCCACTTTGGAAAAACAGTTAACAGATTGTTTTCGAAAGTCAAATTTGCAGCTTGGTTTTCATTTCACTGCGATCCACTGTTTAGTGAATAGACTCAGTTTTACAACCAAAAGTTTAATTAAATACTTTGACTTCACTGAAAAAAAAAAAAAAAAAAAACTCACGGTTTATGGCTTGCTTTGTCCCGCCTTGCATTAATGCCCCACCAGGGGACAGAGCAGCGATCGTACTAGTAGCAGCACCACTTGAAAGAACCTAGAACAAATCAGAACATTTTAAGAACCCACAATAAATAATAAATGTTCCACACTGTGGCTGACATATTGGGCTCCTCTGGCTGAGCAGACAATCACGCAAACTGATACTTAGTGGACAATTAATTTTAGGCCAAGATAGCTGCGCTGGAAAATGGTTATAAACCGTGCCTTTCACTTCCTCAGCTTAGTAAATAAACCCCACTGTAGTATAGCTTATATATAACCTTATAGACATTTTGCCGTCTATTTCACTGTACAAAAAAAAAAAAAAAAAAACTAACCTGAGTTAACCTTGGTACATAGTTTTCCATTTGCAGTTTAATACTATGAAAAGAATTGAGAATGTCCTGACTTGTTGCATATTGCTGGGAAAGGATTGGGGTGGGACCATGATAATACCTGAAAAAAAAACAAGAAAAATAAGTAAATAGTGGAAATGGAATTGAAAGCAAAAACATAAATTCTCCACATTTGTCCATTCCATAATACTTCCCAGAATGCACTAGCTCCTCTCCCATTTGGCCTCCCATTTTGTATACACATAACACTTCTACAGTGTCTGAATCTTACCTATCTGACTTTTTCAGATTGAGTGAAATTGGTTTCAAGCCATTATTCTGCTCTAAATCTTCATACTCTATGGCCTCCTGTAATTTCACCTAAAACAGATCAGAACTTGGTTAGAAGTTATAACAGGTCCAAAGTATAACAAAGAGGATTATGGCACAAATGCTTATTCGAGATACACTTAAAGCAGGACTGTCGCTATTCACATACTATCATAAAAACATCTTTATGAAACATTCATATTGGCCATGTTGGAATTTTAATGAAAATATAGAAGGCAAAGTAGGGACAGTAGCATTTAGTTGTCTTAAAGATAGCACAGAGGTTTACAAACGTTGCCACAAGTTTCCCAAAATATGCAAAGGCCCCGGAAGAGGTTGCAGTGTTATAAATTTAAAGGACAGCTGCCACCTCAAAAATAATTTTTGCATAATAATCCATTCATCAAATTTTGAAAGAAAATAGATTTGTTTTTAAATGAAGAATATGCAAAAAAAAAAAAGCTTGGAAGACCATAATGACTAACTGACCCAAAGTGCATGCATAAGGCTGAATCATTCGGTCATATATTGTAAAAGGTAGAAAGGTCACCACATTTAAAAAAAAAAAAAATATTTAAATTACATATACTTTATTTAAAAAAAAAAATCAATTTGCTTACAAAACTTGATAAAATAAGTTTTATATTAAAACATAGCTCTGAGGGGACAGTTTTCCCTTAAAGACTTGTAGGGCATTACCAGAAGACATATCATTGCATTACCAGTTTATTTTTCTTTTGTTTAATGTTAACATTTAAAATTGTGGTACCATTGTAGTGGTGTATGTAGTTGTATACCTGTAACCTTGGAAACAAATTCACCATTTCGATATCATTATGTTTCATGGAATGTAATAAACTATTAAAAAACAAGAAGGGAACATTTGATGATGGTTGTCCTTTAAGGGCACATCTTCAATCCCTCTGGTGTGGTTTAGCTGGTTACAATTAAGTTGGAAAATAGACCTTGGCATGTACTTCTAAACTAGTGAAAAGTTTAAAAACTCGGAAATAATTTTTAATTGATGCAGCAAGACAGAGGAGATAAAATATAGTGGGGTTGGGAGTTGGGCCACTACACACATAAAACAGCACGGCATTCTATATCACATGGTGATGCTGAATGACACCTTTTTTACTGGAGGCTGGAAGAAATCGGAATCCCTAGAGTTTCCGTCTGTGCTGCTGGTCTCACTGTTCTGGTCGTTTTGTGCTTCCCTGTGAAAAAAATAAATAAATAAAAATTTCAATAATGTGTGAAAATATATAAATACCTCAAACAAAAAAACCTACATTTGTTTAAAACAAACCTTTTTAAAAGGGACAGTAAGCAGCATAACCACTTCTTATTGCAGTGGTTATGGTACAAGGGGTTCCTCTCTGCTGCCACTGAGGTTCTTAATTATCTGTCCAAATCTTAGTGGCAATGAGGGCCTGTGGATGCGGAGTTAAACTAATTTAGATGGATATTTTTGGTGGCAGCAAAAAGGCTCTTCTCTGCGTGCCCATAGAGCCCCAGTTATTGCTAAACCACTCAAGAATGTTCAAGGAAAACTGGAAAGATTGGATCCAAAGACACCATGCACCATAATCACAATAAACTAGTACTTAGAGTGTCACTTTAAATGGAAATGGAAAAGGACAAAGACTGAATAATCAAGAACAGTGCTTATTTTGGATCAATCATGAACACTATTTTACAGATTTCCAGTGGATGTATAAAGAATGGGCAGAATGTACTGGAGAAAGTCTTTATCTTATTCCTTCATTCAAACTGGGATGGTGTCTAGAGATACACATTTGTCTGGCAGCTGTAAACTGAGCTCTACGCTATCAAAAAAAGGCATCATTGATAAGACACTTGCAGAGAGGCTGCATGCGAAGTTGATTATTTAGGTCAAAGTTGATTATTTAGGTCGTGTTCTATGTATTGTCTGTAAATTACATCTATCCTCAATCTGTAGATTCAAAAAACAGAAAATGCACAAAGCACTTAATTAAGAACGGAATGTTACGGCCTCTTAGAACGCACCAGGGAACAGGGAGTATGCATTATATTATTCTAATTGCTATAAAGAGCTTTTATTATATTGAGACAGATAGTATAGTCTCCATTATGTGACTGCCAGAATTTTGATCAAGTCCACAATTATTCAGTAGCTCTGTCACATAGCAGTTTTATTGTTTTTTTTCTGAGTGCCCGAGGTACGGCTGTGCAATACCTACTACTATCTTGTCTAAGGGCTTAGAAAAGAGATTTAGAAACGTGACTAATATCGGCTTACTCTTTTCGGAGTCCTGCTGCCAGAACCCTGGCACTGTGGTGATTGTAGCGTTTAATTATAGCAGCATTACTATTCTCCTTTATGGATTTGGAGTTTGATGTCGATGGAAAGCTTGAAGCTCCGTATCCCTGCCAATGGAACAAACACGATATTGTTAGATGGATGCCACACAGTGAACAAACCATTTCTTGGCAAAACCTAGGAAGGAGCACACAGGAACTGATCCTACTGCTCTGAATATTAACAAACAGAATAAAAGAAGGCTGACTGAGCAGGTCTGAAAATGCTGAACTGCCAAGTTTTACATCCTCCATAAACCCATACCCAGGCCCAATCTCTACATCTACACTATAAACCCCACACACAACTAATTTAGTAAAAATAAATAACTAAAGGCTAGCGTGGCACGTATCTAAAAGGTGTCATGGAAACACAAATATTCACATACCAAGCAAATGGGTGGTGCAAAACACCTAATGGAACCTGCATCCCACAATAATGCCATTATGTTTCTTAAAATACCAGTACGCAGAGAATGTTAGCATTTAGCTGTCACAAATAATGTCTATAATAGGCATAACAGTACAGGTTACGGTGCCATGCACAGAAGCCTCGTGGCATACAAAGTTGAATTTGAGCAATAAGCACTTTTGCACCATAAGGGAGGGAGTGCCATTTAAAGCATTCGAACAGGTGACTGGCTTAATAGGTTAAGGTAAGGAATTTAAAGGGTTAAATCTGCAATGCAGCCGGTGCATACATTGGGCATAGAGTAAAGGGGTTAAAATGTGTATCAATTCCCTCGCATAAAAGCTGTGAATATGGTTTGAAAAGAGGTTTCTCAGATCAATTACCAGCAGGTTTGTTTAAATGTAAAGAGAGCTAGTCACCAAACAATGCATTAAAAGTAATAGTGACCAGGAGTCATGGAAGGAGGGGGGGGGGGGCTATGCAGGTTAACTCTTTCAGCACCAGAGGGCTCTCACACAAACAAAAAAATTGGTTTATTCACGAGGGAGCAATGCTATCTGCACTATTTCCATGCGCAGCATCATAGGAGGGAAACTAAAAAAAAATTAAAAAAATAAAAACTTTCATACCTCGTCTAAGCACTTATCTTCCAGCGACAGCAAATCTAGCATTGGATTCTTAACCCCCTGGGAGAATATGGACTTTAGACCTAAATAAACAAAAGTTGCAGGAGATGAGTTGAGCCATGGTAAAAATGACCTTTTAGAATAATATAGAAAATTACATTCCCTTATACATATTTAAGTAGACTCTTTCTGCACGCAGTTACGTTACAACCTACCTAGAAATGACATGTTTAGCTTTGCTGTAAAATTAATATTTGCACGTGACATCACTTTGGAATACATAAGAGCGTCTAACATGTATAATATGCTATGTAATAGGATTGCAGACTATAGAGTCCTTGTTTATCTTCATGTGAGATGCTCACCCAGCCCTGTGCGGCTGTCTGATTTCAACTGTAATTTATGAAAAACGGTCTAACTGAACTCTTGTATATCTGGTGATTGTTTCTGCTTAATGGACAGTAACCAATAAAAATCTTAAAAAATAAAATAAAAAAATATGTGCATCAATTGCAAGGCTGCAATTCAAGTAATTCAGGGAAATATTGTGCATTAGAGGATCTGTAGCTAAAAATGCAGTGCCCGCATTGTAATATACAAACACGACTCTTCTGTGAACTTTAGCTGATGGAAGGGAGTTGATTTTACACACTTCAACTTGCTGTCTAGCAAAAATTAATAGGTAGGATGAGCATGCTTTGACTCAGTTACTCTTTAAAGTAAAAACTAGACCTGATGGGCTTCATACCAAAACGGGAAGCTAGGAACAGTACAAGGCAGACACTTTCCCTTATGCACCAGGCCCATCTGACATCAAGAGGCCTCCTCTCATTCCCAACAGACACAGAGTAGATGGATTGGGTATTACTCTTTCCTCCAGTACTGTCCCTTGAGAAAGGCACATTTGCTAGTGCTAAAACATTGGCGTCGTTTTTGACACGCGTGAAGCTATCATAGGCTCAATGTAAATTATTATTGGGATTACTAGGATTGTTAGTTTAAGCTAGCCCTGGTCCCTTCATTTGTACAGTTTTTGTAATGTGGTAACATGGGTGTCATGAAAGTGTGCGGTCTCTTTATATAATAAAGATTGACTTTTTTTATTTGATTATCTATTTTGGTGTGCATCCTTTTATCTAACGCTACATTGTGCTATTTCCAGTAAATTTCAAGAATCGCCCTATAAAAGTCTGTCACTCCACAAACTCCAACCAGGACAACCACAATGTTGGTGGTGCAGAGGTCAAACTAATCCATATTTGGTGTAAATGTCTGTTAAACCGCCCTTTTAGGGAAACAATTCATGGCATTTTTTTAAATTCTCAGGTGACAGCCACCTTTTACACCTACCCACGTGCTGCTGCACCAAACATGAAATCCATATACAAAACATCCCTGAACATTCCCATACCCGATGTGGCCAAAGAGCGCGTGCCCTAAAATTGCACAGGTTTGGCTCCAACACATTTAGGAACTAGGAGCCATGGAAGACCTCATTTGCAGGGCAAAAGGTAGACAGCAAACTTCTTTGGCCATATAGACACCATGGATACTCAGCACAGAGTATGCTAATTTCCAGACTTAAATATTGTTACTTCAATACTGATACTGTGTCTAGTTCACAGGAAGATGGATGACTGTAGGGAATCCGTGCCACATACACTTATACACTTACCACATAGACCAGCTAATGCCCTAGGGGCTAAACACATACCATTGCTCAAACCTTCCCATGACACAGTTAACTAGGGGTGGGCTTGACTGACCTGACCTGCTTTATGCTCTAACCCTGAGAATACGATTGTCTGTGAAATAAATGTGAACCAAAGGTTTGCCACAAAGAATCTGCTAGAGACCTACAACTCTCGCTCGATTTCCAGCCCTTCGTGTCCCACTTTAGTCCCACATTTTGAATGTGATAAAACTAAATTATCCCCAAGAAATCTATGGTAGAAGCTACCATAGGAAAGATGTTTACAGCCCAGCAAGTGAATCATTACCCGGAATCCTTTGCTGCAGTGTACACCTAGTCTTTAAAGGGACACTATAGGCACCCAGACCACTTTATCTCATTAAAGTGGTCTTGGAGCAATGTCCCAGCACCCTGCAAAGCTAATTATTGCTGTTAATCAACTGTAATTATTAGCGTTGTGGGGTAACTCCACCTCTAGTGGCCGTCTACCAGACGGCCACTAGAGGGACTTCCTGGTCGTTCGTCCTCATGCATAGCGTGAGGACATCCAGAGTCACCTGAAAACCCTATTGGAAAGCATTGTATAATGCTTTCCTATGGGGAAATCCTAACGCGAGTGTGGCCAACCCTTCTGCAACGTGGAGGGGAGAGGGGAAGGTCACCATAGTTTCCCTTTAATAACAAAAACAAAAAAAGATACACAAACTACAAAACATAATGTACAATGTCATATCTAAAAGTAAACAGGAATTGTACCTTTCTCATCCAGTTTGGCACACTCTGAAAACAAATCTTTAGAGCCAGTGTTTAGACGATCTCGATGAAAGTAGTGGGACTGAAAAAAGCGTGTCCAAAACTCCTTCTCTGTCATATTATGCGGGACATTTTCTGCGTATTTCAGCTTTACTGTGGAGGAAATTTATATATAATTTATTTTTTATATATAGAATGAACTTACAATAGGCCCAAACACAAATTTCACCAGGAACACAATCTCATCAACAATACACCCCCCCTATCTTTTGGCAACTTAATTCAGACTGTGCGTTATGTCAAAGCTTTAGTAAACACTTGGGATGTAGTTGGTCAATCCTTCACTAGCCAGTTAATTCACTGACCTGTTTTGAATTAAAGGGAGTTTGACATTTTAGCCCGAAATCAAAACCAAAGAGAAAGAATTTTGGCAATTATTATTTTTTGAAATTTGCTTTTATTTAACCAAAACTCCCAACATTAGTGAATAACTCAGAAGATCCTATTCACTTTAAGCAAAGTTCATAATTATATGGCTTTGCAGTAACGTCCCAATCTAGCTAGTTACGTGCACATCCAAAGGTGCCGTCTCTACCTGCAGGATATGTACGGAATATCGATTCTATGATATCTGATGTCAGATTATATCTCAAGCCGTTACACCCATCAGTTTGAGGACGAACATCCGCCTAAAATGAAAAGAGATCAAAATAAGACAAGGAAAAGAGGCATTTGCAGTCCGATTTCAGATTACTATGTGATTATGGAGAAGCGACTAGGCGAGCACATGATAAGGATCTAAAAGATCCTGCTGGATCACAATTACATATTCTATTTCTTTAGAACAATGTTAGCTGGCAAAGGATATAGTTTAAACATTGGTACATCAACAGAGCTAAAGTTGGTGAACTTCCAAAATAATTAAATATATCTAAGCAAGATTATGCTGGCCAAAAATGTAAACGGCACTGGTGTTTTATCTTTGCAAAAACATCACAAGCTCATATAGTTACAAGAAACCAAAAAAAAAAAAAAAATCAAATACTGATAAAGGGACACTAAGGATAAAGTCAGAAATGTGCATGTTAGAACACCCTCTTCAAGCCTAACTGTGGGAATCCACGTGGTATTGGACCGGGACCTGAAAAAAAACATTTCAACTTGGCTTATAAAGGCCTGCATATCAGTTGTTTGTTAGCTCTTAAAAGGTGGTCGTCATTCTCCACACGCAAGGATGGGAACGCAATCTAAAAAGAATGTGAAAATTGTAACTAACAAAACGTCTCATCATACCAGGAATGCAGCAGAGATGCCCACATCTTGTTTGTTGTTGGAAACAGAACTGTCCAGAGAGTTCAAGCTCAGACGATTGGCCCAAAATTCCTCTGCACTGATCACCTGACTCACAACAAGGTCTTTGTAGAGTTGGAATAAGACAGGATCGTCTTTTAGCATTCTACATGAACAAAGGACAGAGAGTTAAACGATGTACCACTGGCCCATATCTTCAGAACTCCAGATATTTCTGAACCAGGTTTACCACGAGGCACTCCCAGCCTTACAGTAAATTTGGTTTACATGCCCCTGTGCTGCTATAAACACTGTCAGCTTGTCTCTACTTTTACCTGTTCTTTTCTTCTAGTTCTTTGTTGGCTTTCCGTTTGAATTTGGGAAGAAGTTGCTGTAAAAGTTCCTTGACAGCGTCACGCTCTTTGATCGCCGTGCTTTCGTTAGAGAAGTGGAAATTTGTTGACTCTCCGGCATGGAGGACCAACTGGAGCTGGACTTTAGCTTTTCCATCGGGGCTAATTTTCTGACCTGCAACAAAAAGGGGCTTTTACTTAAAGAAAAGAAAACCATTAACAAGAGCACTCTAAGAAACATAACCACAACAGTGTGCTGTATACAGCTCTGTGTATTATTACAACTTGCTATAGTTCTCATGTTGCCAAGAGGGTCTAGACACCGCCCCCAGCATTAATGTTAGATCCTTTAGGAATGATTTTCCAGCTCCCAGAGGCTGCCCCTTCTCATTGATAATGTACAGAATATTTGATAGAGTCCTAACCTCAATACCTGAGGAAAGGGATTTAGGGGTGATTATTTCTGATGACTTATAGGTAGGCAGACAATGTAATAGAGCAGCAGGAAATGCTAGCAGAATGCTTGGTTGTATAGGGAGAGGTATTAGCAGTAGAAAGAGGGAAGTGATCATGCCATTGTACAGAACACTGGTGAGACCTCACTTGGAGTATTGTACACAGTACTGGAGACCGTATCTTCAGAAGATATTGATACCTTAGAGAGAGTTCATAGAAGGGCTACTAAGCTGGTTCATGGATTGCGGGATAAAACTTACCAGGAAAGGTTAAAGGATCTTAACATGTATAGCTTGGAGGAAAGACGAGACAGGGGGGATATGATAGAAACATTTAAATATATAAAGGGAATCAACACAGTAAAGGAGGAGACTATATTTAAAAGAAGAAAAACTACCACAACAAGAGGACATAGTCTTAAATTAGAGGGACAAAGGTTTAAAAATAATATCAGGAAGTATTACTTTACTGAGAGGGTAGTGGATGCATGGAATAGCCTTCCAGCTAAAATGGTAGAGGTTAATGCTGGGAAGGAGTTTAAGCATGTGTGTGATAGGCATAAGGCTATCCTAGCTAATAAAAGTATTTAGCAAATTGGTCAGGCTAGATTGGCCGAATGGTTCTTATCTGCCGTCACATTCTATGTTTCTATAAATGTTAATTCCACATTATCAATGTCAATTACATCCAAACTAGAAAGCACTGCTAAGGTGAGTGCTCGAGTAACCAAAACAACTCATGTGTTTTACCCAGGTTTTCCTGCACATAATAGCAAAAGGAAAAAAATCCACATCTATAAATATGGCCCTAATTGAAAGAAGCTCTCCACACCTACACAAACAGGCTCCATCACAGATTACTATAAATGAGCCCCCACTTGCAGCCACTAGATTGTATTGTACATCCACTAGATGTGCTAATTGTTTCTTTAAAAATTCTCACAAGATTCCATTTTTATTTATTTATTTTTAAATCTACATGCCCTAGTGTGCAGAACATAGGAAATTATATATCTCGTTTGAGCAGGGTGCTCTTCAACCTATTGTTCCTGTAAGTTTTCTTGTAATTGTCCTATTTATAGTTACATTCCCCCTCTCATAATATTGTAAAGCGCCACGGAATCTGTTGGCGCTATATAAATGGCAATAATAATAATAATAATAACAATAATAAATAGAATACGCACATGTGTTTATGGAACTACTAATGGTATGCACGAGAGATCAAGCACTTACTAACATGGCATTTTCTGCTTATGTGGCAAAAATAACCTACAAAACAAATGTGCAGCAGAGGTATGTTAATTTCTTACTTATCTCCCCTGCACTATTTGCTCCAGGAAATTATTATCTAGTAATTACTGTGCTTGGGAGAGGGAGACTGTCAGTTAATGGGTGGATCTTTCTGCAGGTGGACAGCTAGATTCAGATTGGGGCAGGGTGACAATATCCTGTTCTTCCCATTTCCCCCTTCTCATAAATTATTAGGTACTACACGTGTCAATAAAACAGAAATACAAAGAACAGTCCGACTTGGTGGTTCTTACACTTAATGTCTCCGTAGAAGTGGCTCACGGTGAATCTGTCCTTGCCTTCAGGGGCCCAGGCAACTCTTTCTGCCATGAGGTATAGGGCCCCATCCTGTTTCTTCTGACGCACCTTTTTAACAATCAGTAACACTTCTTCGGATGATGTGGCCATGGCGCCAGATGGGTAGGTGCTGTAATAGGGAGTTGGCATCAGCCAAAAAAAAAAACCTTTGTTTCCTTTTTCTTAAGCAAGAAATGCACCAGTGTCAATTTAATAAATGGAGCACACAGAATAGAGAGTATTAATGAATTAAACAAGAAAGCTGGTTAAAGGAGAAGATAAGCTGATGACTCAGATCATAATACGTAGAGGTAAAGATAACTTCCTGCGCTGCAGTTTGAGAACAGATTACTGAACAAATCAGTTGGAGAAATGGGAGACAGAAGGTTGCACTAAACAGAAAACAGCCTGTGGCTGCTCACTGTTGTAAAACAATAAAATAAATAACCCCATGAGCGGCAGGTGGGGGCCCTAACTGAAAATTGGGGGGGGAGGGGTCCTCCCTTTGGCCCTCACCCCTGAGCGGCGGGTGGGGGCCCTAAATGAAAATGGAGGTGGGGGAACTGTTGTCCTCCCCTCGGCCCTCACCCCTGAGCCGTGGGTGGGCGCCCTATATTCCGATAAGGGGGGACGGGACCTATTGTTCTTCCCCCCCGGCCCGACCCCTGAGTGATGGGAGCGGCATGAATGGAAATGGGGTGGGACCTATTGTCGTCCTCCCCCCGGCCCCCACTCCTGAGAGGCAGTTGGGGGCCCTAAATTACAAAAAGCAGGGGGGACCTATTGTCCTGCCTCCTGGGCCCTCTATTACAGGACAATAGGTAATTGACGGCGGGTGAGGGCTAAACGTAAACCCCCACCCAAAAAAATGTAAAGAAAATTCCAACCTACCCCCCTAACCTTAAAAATAGTGAGGGGGGAACACACGCTATGTAAAATGACACAGCACTCTGATTAGTTGGATTTCAAGCCAACCAGAGCGCTGTGACATGTAAATTTAGAGACTTACCTGTCAGAGCAATCTGATTGGTTGGCATGGAATCAACCAATCAGAACGCTCTGAGCTAAATTGCAGGGCGTAGGAAGGCTTTATAAGCCTTTCTCCGCCCTGTGTAACTCAGTCTGTGCAGTGCCCTTTCTGGGTGAAGATGGTTTTGTTTTTTTAGCGTCTGTATTTTTTTTCTCGTTTGATTTATTTTTTGCACTCTGTTTTTTTTTTAATTTTATTTTTAAAGTTCGATGGGTATTATGAATTTTTATTTGGCCTTTTTTGGGGTTGAAAAAGAAGGTTTTAAGAAAAAAGGAAGTCATCAAATGGTATATTATTTTTTTATTTACTGGTATTTAGTTTTATTGTTCCCCCCCTAGCTATTTTTAGGGTGAAGGGGGTAGGTAGGAATTTATTTAATCTCTTTTGGGTGGGTCGGTGGGTCATAATATATGATACAGAAAACATGCATTTAATATAGCATAAACTGGATTCGAAACGTATGTATCACATCTTATATGCAATATTATAGGCATTTTCTGTATTATTTGTATGTTTTCTGTATCATATATTATTATGCTTAGGCTTTGGTGATTTACTAGCTGACTGTTCCTCAGTAGAGATGTCGCGAACTGTCCGCTAACTTCTCGCGAACGGTCCGCCACGAGCTGTTCGCGGCGAACTCCGGTCAGCTGACACATCCCGGCCAATCTCCAGCAGACCCTCCCTCCCAGACCCTCCTACTTCCTAGACAGCATCCATGGATGCTGTCCAGGAAGTAGGAGGGTCTGGGAGGGAGGGTCTGCTGGAGATTGGCCGGGATGTGTCAGCTGACCGGAGTTCGCGGCGGACCGTTCGCGAGAAGTTCGTGGACGGTTTGCGACATCTCTATTCCTCAGTATTGGGGGGTAACACTTCTGTAAGAGTGTTTTAGCTATATACCAAGTCTATCCAGCTTTCTCGCAGGTGACCTAGTACGTTTAGGACTTTATATCCCTATACCTTACTACAGGGCTTGACAAATTTGTTTGGAGTATAGGAGCCAGCCATTTTCAACAAGAAAGTGCAATTCTTAAAGGTACACTATAGTCACCAGAAACACTACAGCTTGATGTAGTTGTTCTGGTGTCTATAGCCTGTCCCTACAGACGTTTCAGTGTAAACACTGCCTTTTCTGTAAAAAGGCAGAGTTTACATTGCTGCTTACTAACACCTCTAGTGACAGTCAGTCAGATGGCCACAAGAGAGTCCTGGGTCACTGCTGCACCACGTGCAGCACCCAGGTTCAGTGTCTCCAAACTCTGGGAGGCGCTGAATGTTCCTCATAGAGATTGATTAATGTAATGCATCTCTATGAAAATCTCTATCTCTGGGAAAATGGGAAGAAAGGTGAGTAAACATCTTCCTCATACGATCAGAGGGGACAGGTACCTAAACGCGCACACACTGACAGGCTCACACACACACACACACACACACACACACTCATGCTGACAACAGGCTTGCATGCACACACACTCATGCTGACAACAGGCTTGTACGCACACACACTGACAGGCTCTCTCACACACTGACAGGCTCTCTCACAAACACACACACACACACTGACAGACTCACTCAGGCTTACATGCACACATTTTTGTTTTAATTGAAACCCACTCAGGCTCCGTACCATTGGGAGAGCTGAGTGGGTGTTTCCTGGGGTCCACTGGGGCTGCTCTCTTCCTGTATGCGAAGGAGCAGTACTTTGCCTGTAGCTCCTCTCTGCTCCCTCGCACTCTAATGATGCCGGGGCTGGAATGACATCATATTCCGGCTCCCCACACCATTAGACAGCGCGAGGGAGCAGAGAGGAGCTACAGGCAGAGTACTGCTACATATACAGGTTATTATTACATGGCTGGATATTGGATATATAATATACAGGTTATTATTACATGGCTGAATATTAGATATATAATATACAGGTTATTATTACATGGCTGAATATTAGATATATAATATACAGGTTATTATTACATGTCCGGGTATTCTATATATAATATACAGGTTATTATTACATGGCTGGATATTAGATATATAATATACAGGTTATTATTACATGGCCGGGTATTGGATATATAATATACAGGTTATTATTACATGGCCGGGTATTGGATATATAATATACAGGTTATTATTACATGGCCGGGTATTGGATATATAATATACAGGTTATTATTACATGGCCGGGTATTGGATATATAATATACAGGTTATTATTACATGGCCGGGTATTATTGGATATATAATATACAGGTTATTATTACATGGCCGAGTATTAGATATATAATATACAGGTATTATTGGATATATAATATACAGGTTATTATTACATGGCTGGGTATTATAATATATAATATACAGGTTGTTATTATTACATGGCCTGGTATTATAATATATAATACACAGGATATTATTACATGGCTGGGTATTATAATATATAATATACAGGTTATTATTATTACATGGCTGGGTATTATAATATATAATATACAGGTTGTTATTATTACATGGCCTGGTATTATAATATATAATATACAGGTTGTTATTATTACATGGCCTGGTATTATAATATATAATACACAGGATATTATTACATGGCTGGGTATTATAATATATAATATACAGGTTATTATTATTACATGGCTGGGTATTATAATATATAATATACAGGTTGTTATTATTACATGGCCTGGTATTATAATATATAATATACAGGTTGTTATTATTACATGGCCTGGTATTATAATATATAATACACAGGATATTATTACATGGCTGGGTATTATAATATATAATATACAGGTTATTATTATTACATGGCTGGGTATTATAATATATAATATACAGGTTGTTATTATTACATGGCCTGGTATTATAATATATAATATACAGGTTGTTATTATTACATGGCCTGGTATTATAATATATAATACACAGGATATTATTACATGGCTGGGTATTATAATATATAATATACACGGTCAGTCTGTCTCCTGTCCCTCTCCCAGTCACTGACCGTTATAGTGACCCGCAGACCAGCACAGACTCCATGCTCCCAGGCGGCCCCGATCGCCGCTTCCTCTTTCCTTCCTGCACAGCTAGGTACGGGACCCCACACAGGCCAAACCTCCTACCTGCTGACTGGCAGGGGCTGGTCACGTGACTCCGGTGACAGCTGAAACGGCTGGTCACATGGTGCGCTGCCTGAGGGAATGGTCTCATTGGACAACATTCGTCACGTGCCTTTCAGAGTTCTAAACAGAAGAGAATGCACCAGTAACCGAAAGTATTTCCGGGGTCCGTGCTGAAAGACAAAGCATTATGTGTCGTGTGTTTAGAACTTTGATGACAGTGATGTCTCTAGGTCTAGAATGTGTCTTTAAAGTGGACTGACTGCTAACACTAGAGACACAACTCGCTTTCACAAGTTATCTCCACTGAGGACCCATTTTGTCGAAGCCAGTTGTATAGCCTTGACACTGTCACAGCATATACAGTGGCCCTGTTTAGGAGGGGCAGTCCCTATTTGGTGTCTCTCTCCTCTATTCTAATGTCCCTCTTTTCTAGAAGCTCCATATTGTTGATTATTATTATTTTTAACAGAAATCATGCATTTTGTGCACAGGCTGAGTGGGGAAAGGCTCTGGGTTTTTGGTTGAGGTTCACATTTTGGTTTGATATTTGCTCTCCTTGAGCAGCTAAAGAGACAGCAATCTCAGAGTTCACAAATTTTAAGCAAGCAACAGGCAGCAAAGCTAACATTGAGTATCTAGATGCAACACCTGCTTAAAGTTCATCTGTTAAAAATGCCTGCAGTGCCCGTGTTTATAGCAAAAACAATTATACCTGTATATTGTTTTTCTAGGCACCTCCATACCTCCCAACTGTCCCTGTTTAGGAGGGGCAGTCCCTACTTTGCACCCAAATCCATCTGTCCATTTTTTTCTATCCTAATGTCCCTCTTTTCTAGGAGCTCCATATTGTTGCTGGGTCCGAGGGTGTCACAGAGCTCCACAGCAATAATAATACTGCCAGTAACTAAATTACCAAATATGGCGGCAGTGCCAAAAAAAAGAATAATTAAAAAATGTAAAAAAAATTCTAAAAAAATAAATCTGCCTGTATGCCATGATAGTCTGCCCATTCATCCCTAGAATATGTACATTTACCTAGTTACAATGAGAATCTCTCATGGATAATATGCAGATTCACAAAGATAATCTGCCTATTTAACCAGAGAATATGCCCATTCGCCACAGCATGTTTTGTATTACGCAGGAAACACTGTCTCAGAATCGTCGTTGCAAATATATAATTAAGGAATCTTGGCAGTTGTAATTGTGACAGTATCACACTGCGTGTTGGAGCAGAGACATATTGAAATGAGTAGGAAAAATCTCAGGTCCTGACCTCCGACCTCACTGCACAGGATCAAGGATAAGTCATAAGCAACACAAATATTACAAAATCGTAACCTTTGAATTCTTAGCTAAATAAAGCTTTATAATAACCATCCACTCAGCTTATCTTTGGGGTTATAACAAGGTCCTGTTGCACCACATTTTTTTCAATGACCGGGACCTAAGGAAAACAGAGGAGTGATGACATCTTATTATTATTATTATTATTATTATTATTATTATTATTTTATTAAGGACGGCTGGTTCCTTATTACAGAATGAAGTCCTGCTAGATATATTAATGACCACTAGATGTCACCCATGTAGCATTTTCACCATCACACACAGAGTGGGCTTAATTCCCTAAACCAGGAATTTGGAGAATTAACAAGGGAAGATGCTAACTCTGCTATTTGTGCCAAAAATGTATAATTCCCTTAAAAATTCGCCACAATTTCAAGGTTAGTGTTTGAACTCCTACGTATATCACATGGGCATTAAGAGAGGCACACGGGTTAGAGATTTTTAACAGTTTACCAAAACTTTAAATTCAAACAAGAACCACTTTAAATTGAATTAAAATCCACAGCACACATTATTGCATAACTCATTTGATTCTGAGCCATTTAATAATAATCACTCCAATCTTATAGTTTGTGGCTTATACATTTTTTTTACATGATTTATATTTATATGTAGATCAAGCTTTTACCCAACAGAGAGCTGACAATTACAGGATTATTTACTAAAGTGATCATTTAATTTCAAAGTAAAGGCCAGAGTAGCCAAACTGGAAGCATAGCTGACTTAGATCATTTTTCCAGTTTAAAGGGACACTATAGTGATCTGAACAACTCCAGCTTAATGAGGTTGTTCAGGAGAGAACTATAGCTCCCTGCAGCCTCTCTCATGTAAACGCTGTATTTTCTGAGAAAATGCAGTGTTTACATTGAAAGCTAGGAACACCCCTAGTTGCAGTCACTCAGGGATCTTGGCGACTAAACAACTCACTGCTCTATGACCAGGAGTTCACCTCTTACATAGACCAAGAGCTAAAACATTACTTCACTACAAACGACACCCCACAGATCACTTCCCCGACACTCTGGCAGGCACACAAACCAGTCATACGAGGCCTACTGCTCAGTAGAGCATCCCACCTCAATAGACAACGAAGGGCCACACTCATGAATCTCCTTATAACACTGAGGGACGCAACACAAACCTACTACCAAACGAAACAACAAGACCACCTAAAAGATATCCAGCCCATAACCACTAAAATTAACCAACTTTAACTCCAAAAAACAGCATACACCCTACAGAAACTCAAAATGACGCACTATGCCTAGGGCCATAAGGCCGGCAAACTATTTGTCAATATGTTGCGAAAGAAACATATGCAATCTAAAATCCTGTATTTACTCATCAAGGACAACCATAAACTTTGGAATCTGCAGGACATGAGCAATGAGCTAGTGACATTCTACATCACCCTCTACAACTTACGTGAGGACAATTCCCTGTGCCACCCCACAGCATCTGAAATCGACAGTTACTTGCGGCACATACCCCTGCCGCACCTTACTGTAGACCAGAAAATCACCCTATCGAAACAGATCACAACAGAGGAATTGCGATCTGTAATCTCTCATCTCCCCTCTGGGAAGTCACACTTATCACACTTATTCCACATATGCAACACACATCTAGACCTGATATATAGCCTTCAACGAAAAAACGCAGGTAGCCTTTTCCTATCATTAGATGTGGAAAAAGCTTTTGACCGCCTCAACTGGACTTTTCTCAGGGCGGTGCTACAAAAATTCGACTTCCCGACTGAATTTCTACACACCTTACAGGCACTCTCCAGTAGCCCCACAGCTAAAGTGGCCAACGCAGGATTCTTTTCCCACCCGTTCAATATCACGAACGGAACAAGACAGGGCTGCCCTCTTTCGCCCCTCTTAAATGTACTGGCACTAGAACCCCTTACGGCCCTCATTCGACAACACGCCCTTATTTCTGGCATCAAAACACAACACAAAGAATAAAAACTAACATTATTTGCAGATGACATACTCCTAAATACAAAATCCAGAAACCTCTCTATCACACTTCCATACAGTCCTGAAAATTTAAAGCAAATTTTCATATTACAAACTGAATGCCTCCAAGACACAAGCCCTGTGCAGGGGGCTCCCTGCAGACATGACCAAAAAACTGAAAAAAACATACAACTGCGACTGGAGAAACGACCATTTCAAATTCCTAGGCATCTCCGATACAAAATCACAGGCTGCTCTCTTCCATTCGAATTATGGCAACCTCCTAACAGAAATCAAACAACAACTACAGGACTGGGAACCCTTATTTATATCATGGTCCGGCCGTATCGCAGCCATTCAAATGATAATTCTCCCCAAACTACACCTCTACCTCTACAGCCATGGCAATTAAATCCCTAGTGTATCTTAGCCCAGATTTCAATTACAGAATCTGGGAAAGACATGGTATCCATTTCCTCCACCACCTATTTACAAACACAAACCTGAAATCTTTCACTGAACTACATTCATCCCCGCCATACCCAATTGCTACTGGAGATGTAAAACTGGTATCGGGAATATGTCACATATCTAGTGGAATTGCCCACATCTGACAAACTTTTGGAGGGACATAGCTATACTTATCAAAGATAGCACAGGGAGAACTCTGCCCCACAAATTAGAAACCAATGTCCTATTTGACTTCCCAGCTTCCATCCCGAAACCAGACAGATATCTCATCTTCCACATACTTATAGTGGCACTCAACATAATAGCACAAAACCGGTCCTCACAAAAAGTACCTGCCATAGCAATGTGCTTACAGAACGTAAACCAAACACGCCACTACGAAAAACCACTGTAATGCAAAAAACACCCCCCAACAAGCGACACCCAAAGTACAGACAATATTGGGAAATACAAATACAAAAAGATAAGTCCTGCGCTCATTCCCATCACTACTGGGCCGGCAGCAATGACTACAGTACACATCAGCCCCAATATATAGTAAAATCCAGAGAAAAGAAAAAGTTACCTGCGCTCTCTCCTTAATCCCTATGTATATTTAGACAAATGGAGGTAATTTAGTTGCTCCAATGGCCATTGGAGGGAATGCCCGCCTGCCAACGTAAAGGCAGACCCCCTAAAGCGAGTCCTACACTGACCCTTCACCTTGCTTCCTTGAGCTTCTGACAAAGATATCTCTGAGACAGAGAGGGGTATTTTTTATATATGCCCCTATATACTTACTAACCCTTAATGGGGAACACATGGGATGGGCGGCAGCATTGTAACAAGGATGTGTGCTGCCGGCACTGGGGAGCTACAGTTCATTGAGGGAACCATGAATGCCAACATGTACTGTGACTTACTGAAGCAGAGCATGATCCCCTCCCTTTGGAGACTGGGCCGCAGAGCAGTATTCAAACATAATAGCGACTCCAAACACACCTTCAAGACGACCACTGCCTTGCTAAAGAAGCTGAAGGCAAAGGTGATGCACTGGCCAAGTATGTCTCCAGACCTAAAACCTATTGAGCATCTGTAGGGCATCCTCAAACGGAAGGTGGGGGAGGGCAGGGTCTCTAACATCCACCAGATCCGTGATGTCCTCATGGAGGAGTGGAAGAGAACTCCAGTGGCAACCTGTTAAGCTGGTGAACTCCATGCCCATGAGGGTTA